AGAGAGAAGGAAACTGAGGCACCCAAGGGGAGGGGGGGAAGGTCCAAAGAGGGATGGACCCCAGAAAAAGAGGGGCCCCATAACTCCAAAGGGAAGAAGACAGAAACCCTAGACAACACAGCCGAGCCTGAGACCCGATAGGAGTGAGAAATGTGGAATGGAGCCCCACCACCCCGGGGAGGGCACCCAGAGAGAGGGGAAGAGAAGCTGAAGGGTTGGAATCCTAGAGCAGGGGTTCCCAACCTTTTTTGGTCCCCGTACCTCCTTGGCTTTTAGTAAACAGGCCAGCCGTGATGGAACCCTGGGCATGCGTCTGCCTCCCTACACTAGCAACACGTCCACGTGGGCTCTTTTTTAATTCTTCTGCAAAATACAGGGCCAGGCCCTCAGACCCTTGTTCAGGTTTTCCTCATTCAGTCCGGTCTGGGTAAGGGCTGATAAACATCTTCACATGTCCCTTGGTAAACAAAATCATATTGGCCGTTTCTCTCCGAGATCCGTGCAGCCCTGGAATTAATCAGTCAGAAATGCAATCTCTTTACAGTGCTCAAGCTCTGTATTTCACAGTGATGTGCTTCATAAGGACAGAGGCCAGATCCTTTGCCTTAAAACCACCTTGGCATATTCACATCCCTTCGGAAGATATGCCGAGTACGGCTCCAGCTGAGATCTGGCCCCACCTATTTGTTCCGCTTCTCACCACCTGTCTGTTTCAAATTGTATGAGACACTGGAGATGCTGCCAATGCCAAACAATACCAGTCATCACTGCACCTCCAGATTCAATCTTGCATCTGTCAATTTCTGTGAGATCTTATGCAAAAATGTAACACCCGAGTTAAAACCAGAAACTGGATTAATCCCTGCAAGGATTCTCCCATGGATTTGGAGTGGTGGGGCCCCATAAAGTGGCCTTGTCCTCTCTCTGTCCACTTCTCACCCAGTTGTGCCCAGCCTCTCAACCTCCCATCCCTCTGATCATAGGTCAGTTGTGAGGGAATTTTGCAATTTTACTGTGGCTCAAGATCAACAGTTGCAGAAATCCCCCAGGACAAACAGGTGATGCTTGCGCTGAGTCAGGAGGGAACAGGATGTCGCTTACACTTAATTTCCCTCCACTCTTGACTGAAATTGGGGCATTTCTCCTCTGTGTTAATTAGGGAAGGGGTGGTCTTCCCACGGTGCTCACGCTCTCTCTCTCATTCTAGGGAAACTCTCTGGCGACAATAGCAGGAGGAATCCTCCCAAGACCATGGAGCAGGAGCAGGGCCATTACCGCTTAGATCGAGACGATCCATATACTGAGGTACTCTCCAGCTTCTGTCCAAGGTTACAGCAACCCTCCGAGCTGGAGCTAGACAGTGGAGCACATAGCTACAGCATCCCCAAGTGGTTTGTACTTGGGGCCCCGAGCACACCGATTTTAGTGTGCTGGCTCAGAAGTAGGGA